TTGTAGTAGATTTTAGATATCTAACTTGTTATGTTTATTTTAACACCTTTATTGCATTTCATAAACCAAAATAGATATGTAATTCATTCTATAAGGTTGTAATAAAGAACTATCTTATCTTATCTTATCTTATCTATAATGCTGTAGAAATATAAGGCCTTCTTTCTCACATAGATTTTTCACCAAAGTGTTAACATGTCTTGAAGTTTTCGAAAAGTATTGATTATTGCGTCTGGGTATAATAAATGAAATATATATTGTGGATTTAGGAAAACATTCTTTGGCCTTTTGTATTAAAGAGTGATAATCATTCATACATGTGTCACTGACTGATGAGCCACGATCAATATCATTTGTGCCTACATGAATTATGATATGTTCTATATCTGTATACTTTACATGAGATAAATATTGTTCTACTTCCACTATTTTACTACCTCGGAATGTTCTTACTTGAGTGTTTCCGTATACTTTGGATGGTTCAATATCTTTCAATATAGAGTCACCTACTATCAGAGTTTGAGTGGTTGTTGGTTTACTCTTCTTTCTTGGTGATTCCCACTGGTATTGGTATTCTTGTCTATGCTCTAATGACAAGGTGGAGTTTGAACTGGTATTGTTCAGTAGCGTAGCAAATGGGTTTGTTGACATTTTCTGTTGTAGACTGGTATTTTGTTGCAAATGCTACATATCACCCAATTTTTCTTCCAGTTTGTTGTTTTCTTTGATTACTGCTTCTATCTTAGTTCTATCTATCTGACAGTGATTGTTGTAACATTTTCTTTTCATTTTGTAGGGTGTGAATTTGTCCTTCATAATTCACATTTGATGTTATGATTTTATCCAATTTAGTTTGGTTCTGTTTTATTGTGTCCTGCAGTTTGTGTATTGATGTATCTATGTTCCTTAATTTCTCACTAATTTTTTTAGTAGACTGTGATGTTGACAATACTTTCATTGTCACAGTGAAATAGGACCCTCTTTCCATGCCACAAACTCCCCCAAATTGAACAAGCGAGGAAGATTGGAGTAGAATAGAATAGAATAGAATAGAATAGAATAGAATAGAATAGAATAGAATGGATTTATTCCACCAGAAAAAAGAGACAATTGTACAGGGAACTTTATCTGAATGAATATTAAATATATATATTATTCCTAGTGGGGACCAGAGAGGTAGTTCTAGCAGAACTAATCTAGTCCCTGGCCCCAAAACCATAGTCAACTGTTAAAATATACGTTGTTGTGAATAGTGATACACAAAAAATTATATTGTTAAGTTAAAAATAAATAAATAAATACATAATTAAGTAAGTAAAGAGACTACAAACTCTCATAATCAATAATAATGAAGAAAACAAAAATAGACAATACTAATACATATACTGCAATAACGCAAGTATTTATACATTAGTTAAGAGATATTTTTTTAATGCCGTTTTGAACGAGTTTCGTAAAGTTAATGTTTTTAACGAAGTTGGGAGCTCATTCCAATGTTTTACAAGAGAAAATGTCAGACTTTTCTTAGTTGAACTTAAATTAATTTGTGGTGTGGCAAGTTTCTCAGAGGTTACTGATCGTGTATGGTATGGATGTGATATTGATAAGGCGAAGTGATCCAGAGAGTGTGCATGGCGGCCATTTTTCAAATCGTATGCAAATAAACATGTATTGTACTTACCGGTACATAATTTATACACATCAAGAATGCCAAGTTGCAGGAAAAGTGGTGTGGTACTTGCTCGAAAATGAGAGAAAGAAATTAATCTGACAAACTTTTTTTGTAATTTAAAAATTGGATCAATATATGTGCTAAAAGTGTGTCCCCATATTTCTATACAATAAGCAATGTGTGGGAGAATCAACGAGTTGTAAAGTAATATCATAATGGATTTTGGTAAATAATGCCTCAGAGAGAGTCCATTTTGATTGAAGTCCCGCCACCACTGTAGATCGCGGTGGAAAGGCTGAGTTAATGTTAAATGTTGCTGGAGCTTAGTTACGGTAATTGAGAGATTGATCATGCGACGCAGGAATGTCCGACCTGCAGGAATGCATTTGCAGGCAAAGCTAAGTATGCCAATTAATGACAGCAGTTTGCGTTTTGTGCATGATGTTATCAAGGACCATTTTTCCAAAGTTTCTGTAATTTCACGTAACTTGTCGTCTGGCAAACGAAGTACCATTTTAGTGGTGTCTAATTCAATTCCTAGGAATGTGAGTATTGTTGAAGGACCCTCAAGTTTTTCTGGTGCAATGGTAACGCTGAGATCTTTACAAACAGATAACATTGTCTGTAAATTGTTATTGCAAATGTCAGAATTAGGTGGTCTTGCGATGAGGTAGTCGTCTAAGTAATGGAGAATGTTATTATTGTGAGATCGATTGCAAACAATCCAATTGATTGCCTCAGCAATCTGGTTGAAGAGAAAGGGTGCTGACCTAAGTCCAAATGGTAAGACACGATCGAAGAAATAGTATCCATTTCACTTGTAACCTAGGAGATGCCAATCTTCACGTCTGACAGGACACAAGCGTAATGTTGTATGTCAATTTTAGCAAGCTGGGTACCTGATCCAAATTGATTAATCATGCTGACAGCATCGTCGACTGTCGAGTTGTGGAGCGAGAAATCCTCTTTGCAAATGTTGTCATTGACGCTGTCAGAAATTGGTTGAGATAAATCCATTAGAATTTGATGACCCCCATTTTTTCTTTGGTCGCAACCCCAAGGAGTTGACAATGAAGTTGGGAAAAGGAGGTTGAATAAAGGACCTACCGCATGTCCTGCACCAATTTCTTTAATGATGGAGTCTGTAATGATTTGTGGATTCATGTTGGCTTCCTGAAAAACCCAAGTCTGCACGTCTTTGAAATGTCTAAAATAACGGATGCTTATAGATGGTTATGAAGTTCGCGTGTGAAAACCTCTTGATTGAGCGATGTTGTAGAAAAAAGGGAATCCACAAATTCAATAGGTTTTATCATTCCCGCAAAATGGCTGTGGTGTAGGTCCTTGTTGATTTGTTGAGTTGATTGCGGCACGAAAAAACTGGCTACCTTGTTTTCGATGGAATTGTGCAACGTGATTTCTGGAATAACAAACTCTGCATTGATGTCGGCAGCCATTTTGACATGGGTTGGAGCAGCACCCTCTATTGTAATCCCTGCAAGTTTGTTGTTGTCGTCGTCTGGTTTGTCGGGAATGCGTGTTTGGAGTCTGTCTGCTGGTCCATGTGTAGCATTGTCAGAATCGCACGGTCCTGTGTCTTCCACCTATAGGCCTCTACACGATACCGTGCGTGATCGCATAGGCTAATTGCGTATTTTAAGCAGTGAGATCTGATTGGGCGCACCTCGAAACAAGGAGGTACCAAATTATAAAACAAAATTCCACTTTCTTTTTTTGTTGCTATGAAGACATCCTTCCCACACAAAACTGCGTCGATTGCCTGTACCTGATGAGGCTTGAGGGCACCAACACCGAAAACTTTCACAATTTTATCATCACAAATATCACGATTCATGGGCACCGCCATTTTGTTTAAAATGAATAGCCAAAGAAGGACTTTAACACGCAAACTGATTGGCTACTGGGGGCGCTGTTTATTGACTGTTTATTGCTTCTTTTTTTTTATTATTATTTCATCTATTTTTTTTCAATTTTTCAATATTATTACCTACATATATATCAATAGTTGTAATTGTAGTTTTTTTTAAAACCATTGTCGTGCTTTAGACAGTGTAATTCTTGTAAAATTTGTATGTTTTATATATGTGTTTTAGCAGTTAGTGTAACCATTTTAATTCCTTCTGAGGATTTTTAAGTGTTTCAATAAACCAGATAGAATACGCATATTTGATGGTCGTTCTGCCACGGTTTGTATAGAGGATTGGCTGAATAAACTTAGACCTTGGCTAGCGAAGATGTGAAGGGATTAGAACGCTGTAAATGTCAAGCCTGGGTTGGGGTTGCCACTGTTTACTGATAGGTGTGTATTGAGGGGTGCCCCGATGTTTGGAAGAATGTTGTCTGGGTGGAATTCGAATAAATCTATGAACTTATCGCGAATGGCGAGAGCATTGAGCAGTTGATGAATCGACTTGTGGCATTTATAGGTGCATCGGAGGGACGACTGCAGGAGCAATGTTGCTGACTTGCCCTGTAGCATGTGCTTGTTGTGCCAATATGTGGGTTAGACAGCTGGTTGGTTGTACTGTGCGTAAATGTGTTGTTGTTGAGCAACTGGTTGGTGTGGTTGAATGACTGGTTGGTTTGCTGCAATGAGTTGTGGTTGAACAACTGGTTGATTTGCTGCAATGAGTTGTGGTTGAATGACTGGTTGATTTGCTGCAATGAGTTGTGGTTGAATGACTGGTTGATTTGCTGCAATGAATTGTGGTTGAATGACTGGCTGATTTGCTGCAATGAGTTGTGGTTGAATGACCGGTTCATTTGCTGCAATGAGTTGTGGTTGAATGACTGGTTGATTTGCTGCAATGAGGTGTGGTTGAATGACTGGTTGATTTGCTGCAATGAGTTGTGGTTGAATGACTGGTTGGTTTGCTGCAATGAATTGTGGTTGAATGACTGGCTGATTTGCTGCAATGAGTTGTGGTTGAATGACCGGTTCATTTGCTGCAATGAGTTGTGGTTGAATGACTGGTTGATTTGCTGCAATGAGTTGAGGTTGGATGACTGGTTGGTGTGCTGCAATGAGTTGTGGATGAGCGACTGATTGGTGTGCTGCAATGAGTTGTGGTTGAATGACTGGTTAGTGTGCTGCAATGAGTTGTGGATGAGCGACTGGTTGGTTTGCTGCAATGAGTTGTGGTTGAATGACTGGTTGATTTGCTGCAATGAGTTGTGGTTGAATGACTGGTTGATTTGCTGCAATGAGTTGTGGTTGAACGACTGATTGGTTTGCTGCAATGAGTTGTGGATGAGCGACTGGTTGGTTTGCTGCAATGAGTTGTGGTTGAATGACTGGTTGATTTGCTGCAATGAGTTGTGGTTGAATGACTGGTTGGTTTGCTGCAATGAGTTGTGGTTGAATGACTGGTTGATTTGCTGCAATGAGTTGTGGTTGAATGCCTTGTTAGTTTGCTGCAATGAGTTGTGGTTGAACGACTGGTTGATTTGCTGCAATGAGTTGTGGTTGAATGACTGGTTGATTTGCTGCAATGAGTTGTGGTTGAATGACTGGTTGGTTTGCTGCAATGAGTTGTGGATGAGCGACTGGTTGGTTTGCTGCAATGAGTTGTGGATGAGCGACTGGTTGGTTTGCTGCAATGAGTTGTGGTTGAATGACTGGTTGATTTGCTGCAATGAGTTGTGGATGAGTGACTGGTTGGTTTGCTGCAATGAGTTGTGGTTGAACGACTGGTTGATTTGCTGCAATGAGTTGTGGTTGAATGACTGGTTGGTTTGCTGCAATGAGTTGTGGTTGAACGACTGGTTGATTTGCTGCAATGAGTTGTGGTTGAATGACTGGTTTGTAGCGGACTAGTCATAGTGGCGGAGTTCAGTGTTGAGTTTTTGTCGGCGTTGGTTACTAGTTTTCGTGGCTGTACATTGTTTTTTGTTCAAAGTACGGGGTTGGTTGTTGGTCTTGAGAAAATCGTGCAGGATTTTTCTAGGATCGAGTTGGTCTTCATCGTTTCTTCTGTGCTGGCATGATGAATGAAGATGGTCAACTTAAAAAGTTTGAGGAAAAAATCTGTGATATGACTGATTGTAGTGTTTTACTACCTTATACTAAAATATATTTGGATATTTAGAGTACTAACAAATTCCCACTTCCGGTCCGGTTAGACTTAAAATACACCACGAATATTCACTTTTGAGATATAATTTTTGGTATGTGTTGGTTCTTGGATATTTCAGCTTCGTCGGCCTGTACTTCATTTACTAATTCGAACTTCCCAGACCTAAAAACATTAGGTAATCAAATTCACTGGAAGTTGACAATCCCTAATATTGCTAAATCGCCAGTTGTGAACTTTATCAGGATTCCTGTTTGAAGTTACACATCATTCTAGTAAGGACAAATATTGATATTTACTTTTTGTGCAGTTTATATAATAAAATATGAAATAATTTATATTTTATTTTTGTTAGTATATCTTTATTTATTAAAATATGTACACATTATATCTAATTACTCGGTATTGCCAAGCAAGTTTATCAAATTATAAACAAATATTTTCGTAAATAACACTGATCGCAATATACGCCTTTGAGAAGTCCATGTATTACTGATGGAATATTTTATATTGCTATTTTTTTCAATTTGAATTAGTCGTATTGCAATGCATTAGTAATAATGTAAATATATATATATATATACATTCCTTTATTTCATTGTTGACACTGAGTTATACATTTTGTTACGTACTACAATTTATCTATATTGGAAAACTGTTATGGGGATTATTAATTTCAATAAACAATATTCAACTATCCTTTGCAACACCAAAAAGATCATAATGGTAATGTTTATTGGTCCTTAAAACTAGAGGTATTAACAGAGCATGGGTCTTATTTTGGAACTCCTGCTAGGTTGCTATTCCCAGAATAGCGCAAGTTGTTAAAGAAACATAAAACTTTAATTCTCAACAAGGATGAAAGGACCAGTTACTGAGACAAAGTCCTACTTCCTGCGAAACCCACCAGATATGAAACCCACTCACCGCGAAGCTACTAGTCAACCATCAATAATATGTTTAATCACACCAGCCATAATTACACTTGTTTCTCCTTTGTTTATATTACTTCTGTTGCCCTTATACAAGAGTATAATGGTTGCCACTTAAAACAGTCACAGTAAACAAAGCTTGTCACAGTTCTTTTTACCAACTACAAAGGAAGGATTCAATGGTAGCACATACAGTAATAATAATAATAACAATAATAAAATATAATAATAATAAAAAAGAGAGTAAAAAAAAGATAATTTATAAAAAAGATGTATAGTAAAAAAAGAAAATAGTGTTTCTTTGTTATGAGGCAACTGGAAATCTTTCCCTTATATTAAAACACTGGTAAATACATTTACTTTATACCTCTTTTAATATTTGTCTATCTTTTAGTTTTAGTATGTTTATCAAAGAAATATAAGTATAAGAAATAGCATCTTACAATGTATTTACATGTATATGCACAATCAGACAATCAACTGTTTCTTCTTCCTTTTGGCAGTGTTGTCAAGTTCTGTATAAATATGCATACATCTGCCTAAATTTACAAAATTCCATTTTTCCAGTCCTATCCTTCATCTACAGACACACTGACGCAAATGTTCCCATTCGCAAACTTCTCACAGGTGCATCAAAATCAGATTATGATTGTTCTTGTTGAACCCATAAGTTGTCTTTGATAGGTTGTCTTCAATTCAATTGAAATTTGGCATACATCTAATATATGATGAGTAGATGTGCTAATTGGATTTTGGTGCAATTCCATGCATATTAATTAGCTAATTATTACATTAATTAATTTAAACTCAGTCGTCTTTGAAATTTCTGAACTAAATATTTGACTTGGGTGAGTAGCCTAATTTGCATATTGCGATAACATATTCCGTCGCAAGAATACTGGTAATATTTCATTGGAAGGTCTGAAAATTTGTGAGTTTTAGTATATAATGATTTATAAAGTCATGATGGATGTTATTTGAGCAGATACAATGACTAAAAGCATCAAATGTATGCGTTTTTCAGTATGGCGAGTACGCATACGTACAAGAGTGACGCAGCCATTTTTTCAGTTTGACGAAAAAGCAGGACCCTTTCTGATTTTCATAAACCAAATTCAATTTCACTTTGTGCGTCATATTCATCAATAGACAAAATCGAAGGCAGAATCCCGTACAACTTTCTGCAAATCTTGATTCAAATGTGTTGGTTACATGTACAGTATTCTCCTCTGGCCTTTCAAGCACCACGGGCATGCGTCGCTTAGACAAATAGCTTTTGTTTCGCCCATGATTCTTGAAATCTGATCTGCGATGCTTAAGTTGTTGTATTGTTTACAAGTGTCAGCCTCGTCTTGCACATCTTTAAAACAATAACATGCATTGATCGAAAGCTAATTCTGCCTTTGTTAGCCTTACAAAAACAGTGATAAAACTGAAGTCTACAAGAAGTCTTTCGAGAGAGCGGGCCTGCAAAGTAATAATTTGCCCATTGCATCGAGAAGATCTTTCCCGATTTGCTGCACTGCGGTTTCTCGGCTGTTTACAGATGGATTTTGTTCAATCGTGGTATATACGTTGGACATTATAGGACCTTGATGCACATCATTTTGTTTTTCAGATAAAATTCAAAATGGCCAACTGGCGGCCATTTTGTTTCAATGAATGAGGTTCTAGTGCCATATCTCTGACTTGCTTTGACTAATTATGTTCAAATTTTAAATATTCATTATAAATCATGTCATAGATACACAGATATATTGGTTTGGAGATTCTATTAAAAATGGCCGAATTTATTTTTCAGATTGGATTCAAAAAGGCTGACTGGCGGCCATTTTGTTTTAATGGTTGGGATTCCAGAGCCATATCTCTTAAATGCTTTGACTGATTATATATTCAAATTTTATACATTCGTTATACATCATGTTATATATATATACATGTATTCAAAATGGCTGATTTTGAATGCTGTTCCACAGCAATATCTCTCAATATGGACAAGTACTTGTTTGACGATCAGATACAAATGTCAATCATTTTAATGTTAAAAAATCATATTTCTGACATGGTTATATTTCAGCTATATTACTATAAACAAGACTATATATCCTAAATTTGATAGCATGGACTGTGCCATGCATGGCTTGTTACTACTCCATCGCCGGTTACACTAATTACCAAGAATTAAAATAGTGAAATTATGTCGCATTGGGAAAAAAAACGTAAATAAATCGAAAAAAAACGGCCGAAGAAGAAAAAACAAACCCTGACCTCTGGAAATACCTCATTCATAGAGTGCTTCATTAGCGAGGAATGCCACTGAAGTGACTGATGCATGCTGGGTTACAAGGGGATTCAATTGAGGTAATAAAGATGGTGATGCAAAGTGCATGCCGTTGTAGAAAAAAAATGTCATTATTGATTTATTAAATTTCTAAGTCATATTTTGATAACCCACAATCTGGCAGACTATACAAATTTAAGCAAAAAATGTTTTTCCTCACGTCATATGAACTGACTGTACTTGTTGTACACAAAATAATGATGAACCAGTTACCTCCATGGATAACAATATATTCATAACAGTACAAATTTCAAACTGTATTTGAGTTGATGCACACATAAAATACAATGAAGTGATATAAAAATGATAAAAAATATATGAGCTATAAAAATATCTCTGTTTTAGTTTCTGTATCACTAATTATTATGCAAATAAATTATGCAAATTAGATGTGTTGTCATGCAAATGCCATGATGCTTGGCATGGAGTCTGGGGAGAACACTGATGAGTAATAAAAATACTGGGCACAAATGTAGTTACGTTTGTTAAAATCTGAGCGAATCCGATGGAATCACAGGTGTTCGTTAGACCTGGGATCGCCGGTTTTCTGCCAAAGTATAAGAAAATCATTCCTATTTGCAAATTGATTGTAATAAGAGAACCAGTGAGATATTTAAGAGCCACATTTTAAAATGAAAATCCATACTTTACCATTATTTACGGATCGCTGCCAATATCCCCAACATTGCGCTCGGAAAACCTCAAAAGCTAACACTTACGTGACAACTGCTGCAATAAAAACCAACCGTGTCACAAATATCACAAAATACTCTTAACCCACATCTCTGGAAAAATTAACTTGAAATAAATAAATTTTATGTTTTTCCATAAAAAAAATTGACGAGAGTACCAATGTCTTCATACGAGCAGCTGTTTTTACAGTGATAGAGTCCTCACATGTTCAATATTTGATGTTCTTAATCAGAACTGGAACTGCATAGTTAACAAATATTTTTGAAGTTAATTTAATGAAATAGCTGATCCTTTACCATAATCTTCGTGGTTTCAGAAAAGTCATTTCAAATTTTTACATTTTATAAAAAATAATTATTTTAAATAATTTTAAAACTGCTGTTTATATAATCAGAATGATTGTCTTGATGTTACCAAAGTCAACCAAGAATTGTGTTCTAAAGTGGTTGTCAATCAATTGACTTAGTTGTGTTGATTAGAATCCGATTGGTCTGTGCAGCTCATCCTGGAAATTATTAAATCCAGTTGTCTCAATTAGGGTTTGAATGAAATGAATTTTTGAATTC